AAAAAAATCCTTAAAAATTTTTTTTAAATTAAAAAAAAAAAAAAAAAAAAAAAAAGAAGGACGAATTAAACGAACCTCCCTGCTAATCTCCTCTTCCTGGATCTCAATATCCGCGACGCTCCTCTTCAACACGTCCATATTCCCAAGGATATGCAGCTTCTCGTTCTGAAGAAACTCTATGTACTTCTTCCTGTCCTCCTGTTCGAGCTCCTTTCTTTCTTTATCAGCTTTAGCCTCGTTTGATTTCGCGTTGTCCTTCTCCAAGTTATTCTTCTTCGGGATGGTGCATATCTCTTTGGATTTCGAAAGCATGGTAAGCTGCTCAATAGCCTCTAGAAGGTCGTCGTTCGATATCGCCAGCTTGTTCTCGATCATTTCGCACGAGTTCGACAGCTGGCCGTTCTTCTTTGGCATGGAATGATTATTTTGATTGTTATTCTGTACAGAATTAACCACCACGTTCTCGTACAGGCTCACGTTCCCGTTCATCGAATTGTCGTAGTTTCGCGAATGCTTGTTCGATTGCCCGTTGATCCTCGTCCCGTTCAGTTGAATCGTTCCGTAAGTTTCTCTCGTTTTGTCGACCATCGGCGAGTAATTCGCGCCGTTATTGTTGAACATCGATCCGTCGATCGTCGTGTTGTCGTAACTCGAGTTACGAACTTGCGAGATCGAACCGGAAAAACTGTGGTCCCCGTTGCCAAGAATGTTTGGCCACATCGTCGACTGGTTATTGTTGTTGTTGTTGTTGTTGTTCGGCGTGATCGATTGCGAATGTTCGTGCTGCATGTTCGTTGTCTGATTGTTCGCATGATTCGTGGTCTGGTTCCGATGGTTGTTCGGCGCGTTGCCGTTTTGGAATATGATCTTCGAATTTTGCACGCACACGTTCTCGTACGAGGCTGAATTCGATTGCCTCGAGGCATCGAAGGAGAAGTACGGTTGATTTTTCGATGGACTCTTCGGGCTGTCGAAAGGTGAATTGTAGCCGAGTCGCTTGTCTCGTGGCAGAGAGCCGTTCGTCTTGATTCTGTGAAAAGAGATGAAGATACTGTAGACTTAAAGCTGTGTAAAATTGTATATTGTATTTATTTATATTTGTTAGAATTAAAAGAAGTATTGTTGTTGATTTTGATTATTTCTTTTGAGATAATTTTGTGAATATTATTCAAATATGGATTTAAATATATGTACGGAACACTGACGAAGAAAATTGTACAAGCCTCTCATAAAAATATTATCAAAAGATCTCAAGAAACACATTTTGGGATATAATTCATTGAAAATTTTCTTGAAATAAATTTACAAATGTTATCCAAATAAGATGTACGTACAAAATATTGAAGGAGAAGATTATATAATTTTGTTGCAAAAAATTACCAAAACATCTCGACGAACACACCTTAAATACATCTTTAATCTTCGACTATCATAGACATAAGATTGAAATATAGGAGACAAAATGATATTTATATCATTAAGGGAACAATCTGCTTCCAAGATAAACAAGGATTCTTCAAACTATCTTTACTTAACCCCTTTCAAAATGACGTGAAGACATCTTTAAAAGAAACGAACTTAGTATCGTGAAAGTATTATGAAACTAAATATTTCTACATCATTTTGAAAGAGAATAAATAAAAATAGTTTTTCTTGCAAATTCAAACGTTCGTACGAGCACCACGGTCTTGAAGATTGAAATTAAAAATTAAAAATTTAAAGTATCGACAATTTTTCATTGCAAATGTTTCGCGCCAGGCTCGAATCTTCTCGCATGCAAATGTCCCATTCACCTATTAGGTTGCCTCGGCTTTTCGATGGTGCTCTGCCTCTCATACTCGGCGCACATAGCGAGGATCTCCTCGAGTCTCATTTTCTCCTGCCTCTCGATCTCCTGCTCCCGTAGCCTCTCCTCCTGCGCCTGTTTCCTCTTATTCTCCGCCTCTCGCCGCTTGTTCTCCGCCTCGATCTGTCTCTCTCGCAACTCCTCCAGCGAACAACCGCTCCCGATGCTAGGTGTTGGACTCTTCATTCGTCCGAAGCCTCTCTTCGGCTCGTTGTACTTCGGATTGCGATTGAACGCCGGGCTAGGCGGCTGTATCCTCTTCACGTTCGGGTTCGAGCCGAAACCTTGAGCCCCGGCCACGTTCCTCAAGTTTCCACCGCAGAAGTTCCCGTTCCCGTTGCAGATGTTAGGATTCGAGCCGAATTTTTCCAACTGAAGATACTCGGTCGTGGTGGTCTTGGTGACGATTAAACTTTGACTCATGTCGTAGTCCCTCGTCGTTGTCAAGTCGTCGAGATCGTTCGATCTTTGACAGGTGAAGCTTCGCGACATTAGATCTCCTCCCTGATTGACGTTGTTCTTCGATATCGTCTGACCGTGGGGATTCTGGCTGTTCTCGTTGTTGTTGTCTCTGTAGTACGGCTTGTAGGTTTTTAGATAAGATTCCGCGGACGAGTACATCTGAATCTGATTGTGACTCGACGGTGAAACGCTTCGGTGCTGATGGTTAGGCGTGCTGGATCTACTGGGCGTTCTGACGTCCAATCTCTGACGATTCTCGTCGCTGCAGCAGTTGGGCGAGGAGGAAGCGAAACAGCTGCTTGGAGATGACGTGCCGAGGAAATGGGCTGGTGAAGATGAATTGAAGGATGGTGTGTTCGAACGACTTCTGTCCAGGTTCGTTAAGTTCTGCAACGGTGAATTGTTGTTGCCATTCTTCAAGGAGACTAGGCTGGATGATCTCGAGTGACCGAGGATTTGATCGGCGGGCACGTTCGTGGTGATGGCACCCGCTGGAAAAACCTTGGGAGAGACACAGTTATTTCTGTTTTGCTTCGATAACATTTCGAACTTCGTCAGTTTCCCGAGGAAACCCATTTCCTCGTCCGAGCAGGAATTTCTTGGCGACTTTCGTGGAGCGACTGGTGGCTTTCTTTCCAGATGATAGTTCTCCTGGAGTTGGTTTTCCGGCAGTGAGAAGCTTATAGGCGCCATGGAGATTCTCGATTGTGGTAGCACCGATCGTAGTTGTTTCGCTTCGGCCGGGTGGTTAAACCGCATAAAATTGGATCTACCGATCGACAGCATGCAACCTGAAACGTTAAATTTGCATTAGAAATCTTACTGGAAACGTAGCTAATTATTACATAATATTTTTTATATTTTATTTCATATTTTTAATCAAAAATAGTAGAAGAAAAAGCATCTATTACTAGTAAATATTTTGTTGGGATAACAAAATGTCCAAATAATGAATAATTCAGATATTTGAGTATTTGAATAATATAGAGTCTTTATTGTATTTTAATACCGGTGCCACAGTGATACATTCAATTTTGACCAATTCGTATCTGAGTCAAGGTCTTACCTTGAGCGAGTCTCACTGGTGAATTTATCGGTACACCATCGACTGCCGTGCTTCCATTTATGGGGTGAAGAGTGACCACGCCGTTATTGTTTTCAATCGTGCAATGAATGGACTCGACGCCGGTACCAACGACAGAAATATCCGCATCTCGACTCGATCCAAGAGTTAGTTTACCTAAACAAAAAAATTACGCGTCTTAAGAAAGTGTAATGTGTAAACTAGAAATTATAAATCCTATGGTTTAATAATCGTAAGTCTTTATTATTCTAATAGGTATTTTTACTTATTTACTTAATATTTAGCAACTTAAGTATATATATGTACAATGTCAGCCGCGAAAGTGTCAAGAAACTTAGGATTTATTTTAGAATAACGGATAGGTAAATGTGCCATATTTTTAGAAAACAGAATTATATTTAACAAGAGCAACGAATAAATATAAAATACACTTCGGAACAGATTATTGTCGCTAGTACAGTGAAGAATAATGTCGATAAGAATGTAGTTTTTTGTTCGAGACTTTTAAGAAAATCAAAATTGAGAATTCATCAAGCAAACTTGTACGTGATGATTGTTCAAAATATTTTGCAACGAACGCAAGAATAATCGATTCTGTATGGAAAAATCTATTCGAAAGATATCCTCAGGCACAAAGATCGAGTAGAACGAGGTCTGGAGAGCATGCGACGAAAATAAGCTGGAGTACAGAGTGCGTGCTATATTTGAGAATAATGTGGCAATTCGATTTTCGAGAAATACGAGATACATACAATTTTAACCATTATTCTTGATGACAAGCAGACCGGTGCCAACGTAATTTTGAAAGTATCTAACTTGGAACGAAAAAGCATTCTCGTAACTGCGTTTGTACACGCTTTCATCTTCACAATTAACCATTTTGGCTTTCGAAGCTATTGTATGTTAAAAGCTTAGCAGATATTTTGTACGTTGGATACTGAGTGAAAAGTTCGTTCTGGTTTTCAAGAAATACGTAAACTTCGAATCTTTATTATATAGATGTTCGTGGGACTTTTAACTGCAGATTTTTATATAAATTCACTTTTTTAGGAAACCAAAATTAGAGAAATTAAAATTTCTTCCATAGAAAAAGATCCACCTAGTAGTAGATAATTGAAAGATTGAAATTTCTTCCTTACGACAATCTTCCGAAATTTATTATACGATCTTTTCTGTGAAAGTTATTTAAGAGTTTAGAGAATCGATAATTTTTCATCGAACGTACGAAAATTTTCTACAATTACTTAAAATATCTTTTAAACTTTCTTTTATCCGATACTGTACTTTTTCATCCTTAAATTTCCCACGAATGTACAAAAACTCGCTTGTATCATTCCACTCTTTCATCTGATTAAAAAAAAGAAAATTATTCTTCGCTTAGAGAAGCGTTCCAGATCCACGTTGATTAAATTTTTTCCCTAGAAACATTGCAAATTACGAAACTACGTTGCCTCAACACTCCACACACTCTGTTTTGAACTCGATTTAGCTTTTCAGAGATAGCTATCGCAGGAGTTGTACTTATTCGAGTGGCTTTCACGTATATTAGAGAGCGTAGTTTCTAACGCAGCCAAAATTCTAAAAGCTCTCTATGGTGCAAGTTCAATCGATACTATCTCCGATTGCCATTTAACACGGATTATGGCAGCATGTTCGGTATCTCCGATTTTCTATCGATAACTGGAGTTCGTTTCGTTTCGTATTAGCGTATGCTTGGCACGTATAATGCCTTCTGAGCGTGCATTCGCGATTCGTTTTCCCTCCGGTGATGTATTATAGGTTTGTGCAGTTTAACAATGCGCTTAAACGAAGGAAGTCGAAGAAGTTTAGTGGAGTATTTGGTTGATTGGACAATTAGCCGACCCGCAGGGACATTATAAATTACTCGTCAACTAAAGTTTTTGTTACGAGAGGTTTTAACGTGGGAGAGAAGTTAACGAAGAGATGATTAATTAAACGAACATTGACACTGCAATGCTACGTAGGAATTAGTGTCATTCAACTTATATTTGTGGTCTTTTCCTTTTATTTTTGTATGCGTTTGATTGTAAATTTATATTTCATGTAATTTTTTATTTTTATGAAGACAATATTCCGTATAATATTTCCGTGTAATATTGTAAGAATTCGTGGAAAAGTAGAAGGTATACAATTTACATAATGCAAAAATATGTAAGATATCTTATACATAGTAGGTAAAATATAATAAATTTTCTATCTATATTCCATTTCTTTAATTATGTTCATAAAAATTTAGAAGTTCATAAATTCCTGTATTCTAACGAGATATTGGAAAATTAAAAAAATGTGTGCGTATTAGAAATATTATTATATCCTACATAACGTTTTAATATATTATATTTAATTGTACCTAAAATAACAAAATTATATTTACGAAACGAAAATAGGAAATCACAATAATTCGGTTTTAATATAGAAGAATATCAAAAACAATCTGTATCACAATCAGTTCGCTATCTTTAGTCAAAAGATTAGACATAGAAAGTATAGAATCGTGTACATATTTCAACAATATGATTGTCTAGTAAAATAATTTTTAATGAAGTAGAGAGTCAAATGATTACTAGACTGTGGATTTTTATGCAAATTCACACTTTCGAGAACATAATTAAAAAAACAGGTTCTTGAGAGAAAACTGTTTTACGTATCAAATATTATAATGATATTATATATATATATATATTTTTTTTTGTAAAATTTTGTATTTTAAAATTTTCTATAAATATGCAAAAATTTATTTATTTCTGGGAAATCAGAGATTACAAAAACCACAATATATAGTAATAACATATAAAAAAATGCAATAAAGTTCAAAATCTACAAAATGTATATAATAATAATAAATATATGAAATATCCAAAATAAAGCACTTATTACGATATCTAGTTAATGAAACAATTTTCCGTTCAAATTCTATTTTAAAGTATGTCCATCAGAATATAAAATTACAATATATATATACCTACAATTTTAAATAATTTGGTAATCTTACGTACAAAAATTTCTCATAGATGCATAAAAATCCGCGATCTAACAATTACAGATTCGTCGAAGCGCTCTAATAATACATTCACCCGACGACTTCCGTCTTCTTGCGCAATCCGATTAAACGAGCCAGCCGAAATTGTTTATAGTCGGAAAAGCGAGTTACACGAAAACCAGGATACTAGATAGATACACTGTAAGGAAAAACTTACGATTACCGTCGTCCGATCTGAAGTCCCCTTTTTCTCTCTCGTAGTTGATCGAGCGTGTTCGAGGGTGGAACGGAGAAAGGACGCGCTACGTGGCGGCCAAAGAAGAAAAAAGAAACAGCAACACACGCTCCTTTTCGCAGGATATACACCGTGAAAGGGCCGGCTGGATCATTAGCGCGAAATAACTACGGGCGTACGCGCGCTCCCCGATCTGCGAGAGCAACGAGTAAATCGCCGCGCATTCTACAAAGGACTGGATGTTATATTTAGTTTTGGCGCGGTCGTGCACTCTCGCACATTTTCGGTCTTTTTGGAAAAGCTTCCGCCACGCAACGTTCAAAATATACTTCGCGCAGAGGAGTCCGTTCCTCGCCTACTTTGCACGTTCTGATTTGCGCCCCCTCCCCCTTTACCCCTTTCGTTTCCCTTTACGGTAAAATTTGCTTTACTAGAGCGAAGTTTTATTCAGTCAGTCCGACGACACATTACGGATCAGACCTATTATTGCTGACCATACCTGGACCAGGAGGTCAAACACGAATATGACATATTTCGTGTTTGACCTCCTGATGTAGATCAAGATCAAGATTTAGTCGTGAAAAAAATTTCGTCAACGTTTTCAGAGATATTTGACAATTTTTACAATTTTGAGAAATAAAAGTATCTTTGTTTCCCTATCTTCTACACAATGTAAAAGATGAATTCAGATCTTCTTTGAATCCTTTTTTTCTTTTTCATTCCTCCATTTTTCCCATTATACAAACTTGTATATTTTCAACAAAAGCTCATCGATCGTACCTCTAGTATAAACAGTTCTAGCTACATTCCAGTGCTAGCAATGAATTAAATTGACGGTGTTACGTAACACCCGATAAATCCGAGCGATCCGTTCGCTACGATTCCAAGAGTCTATGTAATTACACCGTAGCTAACCGATCGCAACGACCATCTACAACCATTACGAACTATAATTCCACTAATTCATCTAGAGCGCCATTCCATAAAATCTACATGCTAAACAATCCGTATATATAACAAATGAGGTTTTTCAATCATTTAAACTCTAAGAATCCTTTGATACCATCGACTGGTAATTATTAGTCAAGCCAATATTCATCATAACATTGACATATGTTTCATCTGATCTCTTGGTGAAGTTACAAATTTTTTTCGTACGAATCAACGTTCAAATTTAAACAATAGTAATTGAAAAATTTTATTATTTATAATAAATATTATCGAATATTAGAATCGAATATTAGAAATAAAAATACATGTCCTAATACTTTTGAGCAGCAATGTATTTTCTTTTCAATTTTCGCGAACGACTCTACTTGTAATTAGTAGTAAAAAGTTAACAAGTTAAACGAGGAAAATAATCAAATAGATGCTCGTTGAATTTAGATGTTTCGTAGTTATGTTACCCGGTCAAAAATTTTGTCCTAGCTGGTGAAAGTTCTTCGTAGTTCGTATAGTACGGTTATAAATTTCAATAAAGTCAGCTCTATTCCGACAAGAAAACAGGTGCGAGAACGTGACGTGTTCGGCAGTAGAAAGAGAGAAAGAGATAGAGAGAAAGATTGGCACGTTCAATTCGATGCGTGATTTTGATCAGCCCAAGTTAACTCGTGCTTGATTCCACCATGATTCTTTTATATTCTGTTATTATGATATCTTGGCGAGATTGTTGCATTCCTATGCTGTTCGTGTTCACGTTGAACCAATATGCATTGGTTGCTTGGTTTCTTAGAGAGATGGTAAACACACGATATAAGCGTAATGTACGTATAAAATTGGTTTCAGATTCCATGGGAACGTAATGATCGCGATTGAAAATTTATTGAGGAAGGGTTTGGTTGAAAGTATTTTCCTGAGTGAAAGTGATTAATATCTGCATCTAAAATTCTTCAATCTATAAAAATGAATGAAGTTTCAAAT